CGCTTTTTCTCTTGCCTGACCCTGAGCCAGAGCTCGGGACCAATGCAGACTACGCCCCTTTGCACTGGAAAAGATGCGACATATCATTTCAAGTTTTATATCTGTATGAGTTTTGACTTTATACATGTCATTGGACTCTGGATGGATATATACTATATGTGTTTGGAATTGGCTTGACCTTTTATAAAAGGATCCTTCCGGCCCGGGTTTCCAACTAATGAAAATAAGTCCGATCGCTTGGGCGGAGCTTTTCACGTGACAAAACCAGCAGCCCTGGAAGGTATCATTCTGAGAGGTATCGTTCCTGGCGGCAATGACAGTGCACGGAGATTGGCAGTACACTTCGGAGTATGCACCTTGGGACGGCGAGAACATATCTACCAAGACTGCAGCGCGCGACGTCAAAGAGGGAGATGACCTCATCGCCATCTATGTGCCAACAAGTAAATTGTCCGTGTGCAGATCAGGAGTGACAGAACGATCGTTGCCTTCGAAACCATTCCCTTCAGAGAGATAAGGGCAATCTGGGAGATTCAAGCCCATGAAGAAAGGACCTGCGAAGGAAGTCAAACGGATCTATTCCCGCTCTGTTGAGAGCGAGATCTGTCCCGGGTTCAAGGACGTGGACTTCCTTGGAAACCTCAACAATTTCTCCAGATCGGGGTTCCCGAAGCCTTGGACAAATCGTTGGTAGCAGATTCATTGTCTATCGCAAGGACGATCCATCATGTATCTCCAACAGGGTATGCCCAGCATGCGCTATCATTATTCCGAGGGGATTTTGTTATTGCACGGCGTGCCGATGCGAGTTCATTTCCACCGGCAAGTTCGTGATCAATGTGGACAACGACAAGGCCAAACCATCCGACACTACCAATGTGACGGAGGAAGTGAAACAAGCTCAGCGAGAAGCAAAGGAGGATGCTGAGCGACTCAATGCCGAAGAAGAACAACCCGACACCCACGAGATGAGTGAAGAACGGTCTGCAGGCAGATCGTACATCGTGTCGGACATCGGGACGGACATCGACTATGAAGATGCGGGAGTTTGTCCTGACAACCCAGAGGAGGATGCGGACGCAATCCATCTCCTGCAAGTCAAAGCCATCTGCGTTGACGAAGACCTCTCTAGATTTGTTGGAGTAGTACTTTTCAAGGTGTGGCAAGTATTCGCCCGCAACGAGGCAGATGGCGTCAAGGGGCCAGGCAAAGAAGGCGGATTATACTGTCCCTACATCTCGATCAACGGGAGGGGCGATTGCATCTTCAAAGAAGTTGATGACGCGAATATCCCAATCCCGCCAACCTTGGAAGAGGTCACTGCTGCTCCCAAGTTCAAGAATGTGAGGTTCAAAAGCGCAAACCACAGGGACGAAGAAATGTTCTTTTGGTCACTGAAGCTAAGAGGGCTTTACATCACGTATCGGATTTGGACCGCCTGCAACATACTTGGTATCAAAGCAGAGCAATTCAGAAGTGTCAGCCACTTGAAGGACATCACGTTCATCAGCGACACGATATTCCGATGCATCGCCCTTGGCCTCAACTGCGATTACATGACCTTCCACAGGACAGATGTGCGCGTTGGACGTAAGTTCTGAGCTCTGTGCAATCCTTTGCATTCAGAACGTGAAAGAGTTAGACACTCCTCTTATCCAATGGTGCTATTCTCACAATATACATCTGCCCTCACGCTTTCTGGAGAAGCTCGACCGGACCGAGGAGACACCACACTCTCTGTTAGAAAGGTTCCGATGGAGAGCGAGTAGAAAGTCCATCGCAGAATCATCACACTGGTGATCAAGCATTTTCTTTACGATTTCTCCAACGTGGAGACCAACTGGAATTTGCATTTACACAACACAATGAGATCGTGATATTCATTGTGTATGGTATCATGGTCAACCCTTGTGGCACCCATCGTGCGTGGTACCCTGGGCATGACCGAAAGTATTTGCATGAGGCTTGCATATATCACCACAGAATGTTTTCTTATTTCCGTACAGTATCGTCATCGGCGACTACTATTCTGGAGATGCGAGGTATTTGGTGGTCAATGTTTTCGGTGCTACAATTATTACTGGTGACAAAATGGTGATGGGCTATGCTAGTCATGGATGTTCGTTTTCTGCAGACTGCCATGGATCTGTACAATTACCTTATGGATAGCTTGCTGCATGTGCGACATCGCACATGAGGTCCGGTACGTGACCTATTCTCGTTTCGTGTTACGTTTACAGAACCTGGTCAAACTCGTGCAGAGACGTTTCACTGATTTGAAAAATGTAGCTGTGCGTCCATGTGTGTCGGCGTGCGTTTGTGATTGGTTCCCGACCCAGGGATGAACCCAAGCCCGGGATGGGGGATGCTAAGAATCTCCGAGCCGCAAGGCGAAAACATCCTAAGGGCAGGTTCTGAGGGTCACCCAATTATATCCCCTTGTTTAAGGTCTCAAACCATTTGGGACATCAGGCTTATGTGTGCCGACATGCACAATGCTATGGAATGCATCGGCTCAACATCTTGATACAATGGAATCGAGGTAATATCCAAATAAACATCGCTGTAGCCAGCTAAAAGAAACATTCTGGTGTCGCATCGAGCCGGAGACAACGTGATCATCGCATCTTACAAACTTCTCTTTACCACGACCACTACTACACGACTTGCTGTCGAGGGTATTGGTCACCCCACGGGAGTCGAACCTCAACTACCCTGTCAATTGACTGCGTGGTTGTGATCCGCCTCCTGGCAACACACGACGCACGACGCGCGACGCACGACGCACGAATCGCGACACGCGACACACGACGCACGACGCACGACGCGCGACGCGCGACGCACGACGCACGACGCACGACGCGCGACGCGCGACGCACGACGCACGACACGCAACGCACGCGCGACGCACGACGCACGACGCACGACGCACGACACGCGACGCGCGACGCACGACGCACGACGCACGACACACGACGCACGACTCACGACGCACGACGCACGACGCACGACGCACGACGCACGACGCACGACGCGCGACGCACGACGCACGACGCACGACGCACGACACACGACGCACGACGCACGACGCGCGACGCACGACGCACGACGCACGACGCACGACGACGCGCGACGCACGACGCACGACGCACGACGCACGACGCACGACGCACGACGCACGACGCACGACGCACGACGCACGACGCGCGACACACGACGCACGACGCACGACGCACGACGCACGACGCACGACGCACGACGCACGACGCACGACGCACGACGCACGACGCGCAACGTACGACGCACGACGCACGACGCGCGACGCACGACGCACGACGCGCGACGCACGACGCACGACGCACGACAGGCGACGCACGACGCGCGACGCACGACGCACGACGCACGGCGCACGACGCACGACACGCGACACACGACACACGACGCACGACGCACGACGCACGACGCACGACGCACGACCCACACGACCCACGACGCACGACGCACGACGCGCGACGCACGACGCACGACGCACGACGCACGTCGCAACGACACACGACGCACGACGCACGACGCACGACGCGCGACGCACGACACACGACACACGACGCACGACGCACGACGCACGACGCACGACGCGCGACGCACGACCCGCGACCCACAACGCACGACGCGCGACGCACGACGCGCGTTGCGCGACACACGACGCACGACGCGCGACGCACGACGCACGACGCACGACGCACGACGCACGACGCACGACGCACGACACACGACGCACGACGCACACGACGCACGACGCGCGACGCACGACGCACGACGCACGACGCGCGACACACGACGCACGACGCACGACGCACGACGCACGACCCACGACGCACGAGGCGGGACGCACGACGCGGGACGCACGACACACGACGCACGACACACGACGCACGACGCACGACGCACGACGCACGACGCACGACGCGCGACGCACGACGCGCGACGCGCGACGCGCGACACACGACGCATGACGCGCGACGCGCGGCGCACGACGCACGACGCACGATGCGCGACGCACGACGCACGACGCACGACGCACGACGCACGACACACGACGCACGACGCGCGACGCGCGACGCGCGACACACGACGCACGACGCGCGACGCACGGCGCACGACGCACGACGCACGACGCACGACGCAGGACACACGACGCACGACGCACGACGCGCGACACACGACGCACGACGCACGACGCACGACACACGACGCACGACACACGACGCACGACACACGACACACGACGCACGACGCACGACGCACGACGCACGACCCACGACGCACGACGAACGACGAACGACACACGACACACGACGCATGACACACGACGCACGACACACGACGCACGACGCACGACGCACGACGCACGACGCACGACGCACGACACACGACGCACGACGCACGAGACACGACACACGACGCACGACACACGACGCACGACACACGCACACGACACACGACACACGACGCGCGACACACGACACACGACGCACGACGCACGACACACGACGCACGACACACGACACACAACACACGACGCGCGACGCACGACACACGACACACGACGCACGACGCACGACACACGACGCACGACACACACACACACACGACACACACACACACACGACACACAGACACTCACACGACACA